ATGCAGGCTACAATTTTAGCCATCTGAAATAAATCATTGATCGCTTTTGAAAATCTCAATCAAATTGCTTCACACGGACAGGCATGAAATAGGAATCCACAGGCACCAGCACCACGGGCTGGTTGTTATTATAAAAGATCATTTAGTACAGGCTGTTTGAATTAAGGTTAAACAAAGCTAATCCTAAAGTGATGTATTTCTCATACTAGCCTGCGTGCGTCTGCGTCTTTGCACATGTGTGCGCAAACAGAATAGGAATTGTTTATGGAAAATAATAGATATGGCCAGAGGATACCTTGCCATGCAAGATAAGACATGTTTTTCTCTCATGTGGAGGTACAGGGGATTCAGGTTGTGGTTTTGCTTTGTTTCTTCCCAGACAAGTAAGAGGGTACTGAATGGCATGGGAATACATAGGAACAGGAAAGCAAATGCTCTAGGCTCCCAAAATATTAGAAGGCAGTTACTAGACTAATCCACCCCGGCTAGTTCAGGGCTGAGCAGGTGAGCAGGGTCCCTGCAGAGAGGTCTGTAACCAGAGGCTCTGGTACTCTGCTAGGGTGTTGTTTTTTCTTGGCTTTGCAGGAAAAGCCAACGCCTTTGGAAACTGAGACCTGGCTTTCCATGGATGACCAACATGACTCATGACTTGCTGAACTTTTAGGGACTCTCTGGGAGTGTTTCTAGTGCTTCCAGTACTTATACCTACCTGACCCTACTGTGACTCTACTCCAGAGGATCATATTTGGGAACGAACCACAGAAAATTGTGGTAGGAAATCTTTGAAGGAGATCTATTGTCCTGCCCCGTGCAAACAATTGCAGAGAGGTAGCCACTTGTCACATGCAAAAATTTTAAAAAAAATTTGCATTGGCTGCATAAATCCCACATGCTCTACTACATATCTGTGGTGGGTTGACCCTGGCTGGATGCCAAGTGCCCATCAAAGCTGCTCTATCACTTCCCTTCTCAACCGGACAGGGGAGAGAAAATGTAATGAAAAAGCTCATGGGTTGCGATAAGGACAGGGAGATCACTCACCAATTGCCATCACGGGCAAAATAGACTCAACTTGGGGAAAATCAGTTTAATTTATTACCAATCAAAACTGAGTAGGAGAGAGGAGTGCAAACATGTGTAGGGTAATGACAAATAAAACCAAATCTTAAAACACCTTCCCCCCACCCCTCCCTTCTTCCCGGGTTCAACTTCCCTCCTGATTTTCTCCCCCTCTCCCTACCTCCCCCACCCCAAGCAGCACAGCGGGACAGGGAATGGGGGTTGCAGTCAGTTCATCACACGTCATCTCTGCTGCCCCTTCCTCCCCAGGGGAGGACTCCTCACACTCCTCCCCTGCTCCAGCGTGGGGTCCCTCCCATGGGAGACAGTCCTCCATGAACTTCTCCAACGTGGCTCCTTCCCACGGGCTGCAGTTCTTCACAAACTGCTCCAGCATGGGTCCCTCCCACGGGGTGCAGCCCCTCAGGAGCAGCCTGCTCCAGCGTGGGTCCCCCGCGGGGTCCCCAGCCCTGCCCGCAAACCTGCTCCAGCCTGGGCTCCTCTCTCCATGGGGCCACAGCTCCTGCAAGGAGCATGCTCTGGTGCAGGCTTCCCACAGGATCACAGCCTCCTTGGCGCACATCCCCCTGCTCCGGCGTGGGCTCCTTCCCGGGTGCATGTTGATCTCTGCTCCCCCAGGGGCCCCCATGGGTGCAGGGGCACAGCTGCCTCCCCATGGGCTGCACCAGGGGCTGCCGGGGGATCTCGGGAGCCCCTCCGCCCCCTCCTTCTTCATTGACCTTTGTGTCTGCAGAGTCATTCCTCTCACATATTCTCACTCCTTACTCCAGCTGCAGTTTGTGTCCCTGTTTTGGTTTTGTTTTGGTTTGGTTTTTTTTTTCCTCTTCTAGAATACATTATCCCAGAGGCGCTACCACCATCGCTGATGGGCTCGGCCTTGGCCAGCGGCGGGGTGCTCGGCCGGCTGGCACTGGCTCTATCAGACGTAGTGGAAGCTTCTAGCAGCTTCTCAAAGAAGCCACCCCTGTAGCCCCCCTACTACCAAAACCCTGCCACGCAAACCCAATACAATATCCCAGAATCCCAGAAGGATATTCCCTGGATAAGCAGCATGAACTCTCTTTGCATCAACAGAGGCTGTTGCAACAACTTTATGAAAAAGCAGTGAATGAGGGTGTAAATTTGGGTTGCAAAATCACAGTCAAAACAGCCTGTACTGTGCCAACCTACCAGGACAATGGGGCTAACTGGTGGAAAGGTGTGTAATGTGTGAATAACAGCTAGGTTTGATGCAGGATCAGGTACTTTGGTGTTTGGGCAGGCACAGAAGCAGACAGGGGAGGCAAGAGTTGGGGCTGTCATCTGCGTACCCCTATTTTGGGGAACAATATCATGGAGAGCTCCCATTTCTCCCTGTTTTCCCTCTCTTTGTTCTTTTATTTATATTTTCTTTTCCTCATGCTCCTCATCCCATCCAGAATAACAGAATTAGCCGGAGCGGGCTCATGTCACTTCTGGGTTGCTTATGGTGCTAACAGAGAAATCCAAATGAGCCATGCTGCACTTTACTCCTGAGGCTTATTCCTCGAGAAAGCTGTTTCTGCTCCCAGGGAAGTCAATGGAAGTCTAATTAGTCCCAGATGTTTAGTAATAACAAGCACTTCCTTTTGGTAGAGCCAAACAAAAGCAGTGTTAAAACCATTAATTAAACGGGTTTGGCTCTGTCATCAGGTTATTAACTAATTCCAGCCATGGCAGCCAAGCTAATACTGGCTCTCAGAAGGAGATACAATCTTGCTGTGCTCGACACAAAATGCATGAACTCAATGTGTGGATAAATTAGCCCACATCTGGGCCTACAGCTCAGCTTGCTTTCATACCAAAGGAAAAGCTCACCGACTTCAGCACTGGGCTTCCAGCTAATCCCTGGGATTGCTGTTTCTGCAAACTTTCTCCTACAAGAATAAGAACTTGAGCCAATGGGTAGCATAGGCTTTTGTAGATGTTAGATTAGGCCCTACTGCTGCTGACTGTTTGTGCAAATGCTTGCCTGCATCTTCGGTAGATCTCCTTGTTCTCTAATGGTTGTACTCTAAGATATGGAGCAGCTGTCCCCGCTTCAGGACCAGAAGGTAGAGGTCTAAGGTGGAGTCTGAACACCATAGAAAAATAGGAAGACATAGCTTTTTATCTGTGGAGCATTCCAAGCTGGTGCTTTAATATATTCACAACCCTGTGCTTTTTACAAAATTCAAAGGTATTTTTATTGTACAAAATTTCACAATGAAAACTACCAGCCAGTTTCTTACATAACTGATTTAAAAATAGAATTATACACCTTTTTGTAGTGTATTAATTTTGACATTCACTAGCTGGAAGAAACAGAAATGGAGCAGCAATTTGACTGAGTTATTTACCTGGACAGGTTTTGGTTTGACCTCTATTTCTCTTATGTGCCTTAAAGTACAGTTCCTGGCATTAATAGAAAACCTGATATAGCTCCTTTCGAAGCCATTGAACCCTGTTAGTAGGTCGGACTGCCACTGTTGAGTTTCTTTTCACTGCAAGAGGGTGAATCTGCTGTCAGAGTATGGGGCATAATGTATGTCAGTGTCAGCTTTTAGCAACACAACAGGTTGGCTATGTCAAACCCATCACAGAATCAGGATCTACATAACTTTCTTGCAGCCCGTCCTCTAGACCATAATCTCTTTTTAGGGATAGGCAGCGGACCTCTGGCCTGAATAATGGCCCAGGACTAGGTTCCCTGTGTATTGTTGCACACTGGTATCTTTAAAACACCTTCTTGCTGTCTAACCTTCTGTGACCTTTAAAAATAGACATATTATTTTTTTGCATTGAAATGCAGCTGTATGCAGTGAGTTCCCAACAGTTTTCCTTAGAAATAGAACCACTTCAGTCCAATGGTAGCTGGTTGAAATTCATTCTCCAAGATTTTTCTTTCAAAAAGCATTCACCCCAGAGATGAATCTCTTCACATTAAACCCAGTTAAATATGTATTGCACGTGAGGGGCAAATTTCTCCTCTTTGAGTTGAACTGTGGACCTGTGACCTTCTGAGCAGGTCTGGGTAACATATAATGCAGCTGTTTCACGCGTGAGATTTCTCTTACATCCCTCGTGGATATTAAATGCCAAGACTAATTAACCTCATCTACCTCTCGTGTCTTGCTCCAGTGGCTGGAGCAACATACTACAAGCAAAGGGAGGTATCCAAAGAGGTTCCTACCACCAAGGTCTTTGCTTCCCATGGATAGCTGTGGATTTTCTAAATGGCAGCCATAAGCACAACAGTCATGAATTGTGATTTCCTTTTTTAGCTAAATTCTCATTGGTTTGGAACTCATGAGAGATTTGCAACCAACTTTAAGGACTGAAAGATTGTTTATTGGCCTGCCCTGGTGTTGGCTTATATTATTTAAGCTTAAGAAGGGTTAGAAGCTGTTATTTCTAACCAGTTAGGAAAAAGCAAAGCTCATAGCTCAAAGCAAAATATCTCATGGAGGCACATAACTTTGAGAAGGGCTTTCCTACTCAGTTGATGTCATTAATGACTGTCATAAAAAGGTGATTCAGTTACAGTGCTCAATTTGCATAAAGTCTTTACCACAAAGTATCTCTGAGCTTAGTGAAAAGTCTCAAGACCTTAGAGGGCTTTTTCTTTTTGTCTGGTTTAAATTACACATCCCTCAAAACAACAGCAAGGCTTTACAGTGGCCTCTTCTACCATTGTATAAACATTTTAGGCAGATCTGCTTGTGAATGAAGCAAGTGCAAAACACGACAAATTCTCCTTTCAGTCCCGGCAACCCAGAGCACTATAGTGGTGCAGTTCAGGGGCACTTTGAAACTGTCTTAAAATCCACAGTTAAAAACCAAAGATGAGAATTTTACCCTTCATTTCTACACACTGGCAGTGTAGCACCTGATTTCTTCGGTTTTCAAGGCATTATGTGTTCCTATGCTTTAAACTGGTGGCTAAAGTTTTGCCTGCGGAAGCAAAAAAATGAACCCACACCAATGATGATCACGGATAAAACCAACACAAATGTTAATATAATAAGAAAGTTGATTTTCTTTAGATCCTCTTTTTCACAGTCTTCTGGTCTAAAGTTTCTGATGTGCATTTCTTCCTGGTACCCAAAGTTCTGAGTGTACTGGCACGTTAAGTGCTCCACATTGGGGATCTGGACATTTTTGCTCTGGATCATTGATGAAAGCCAGATGTTTCCACAGCAGTTGAGTGGGTTCCCAGTGAGATACAAGTTTTTAAGGGAATTTTCTAATGCTAAAATATTGCTGTTCTGTAATGTACTAAACCTATTGTTCCGCAGGTCCAGAACTTCCAGTGGAGAGTCACTACCCCACTTAGGCAGCCAGTTCAGCTGATTTTCAGAGAGGTTTAAATGTTTAAGGTGACTAAAACAAGGCAGGTCAATATTTATATCTGTCAGGCTATTGCCATGTAAATACAAATATTCCAGAGACTTTTCCAGTCCTGATAATGCTTTAACTTCTATTTTCAGTCCGGGGTTCAAGGAGAGATCCAAGACAATCAGAGAAGTCTTGTAGAAAGTGTATGATGGTAGGATGTTCAACATGTTGTCAGCTAGGTACAAGTACTGAAGAGTAGGAGAACCAACAAATGATATGCAACCACTTTCCTCTCCAGCAAGTCTTTGCTTAGCTAATCCTGAGTACATGCTGCAAAGGCTGATATTATTGCTCTGTAGATTAAGTAGTCTGAGGCTGGGAAGACTTGAGAAGATATCAAATTGCAGGGTCTGAAGATGGTTATTTTGAATATAGAGCTCCTTCAAATTTGACAACGTGCCAGCATCTAGGAGAAGGTTCTGCAAAACATTGTAGCTCAAGTCAAGAACTGTTAGGGAGATCAATGCACTGTCATAAGTTACTGCAAATGCCTGAAGACAGTTTTTACTGAGATTAAGGGTGTGAAGGGATACCATTGATTCAAAGAACTCATCCGGAATGGATTTGATTTCATTATAACTTAAGTCTAAATATACAAGCTGGGATAAATAAAGAGAACTTTTATTTCTACTTTGCTTCTGATCAAGAAGATGAAAAGCATCATCCATCCATTCATTTTCCATATAGTCCATTTTGTTATGTGGGGATTCAGCAGTGAGCTGTATTAAATTCTTTGATAAATTCAGAGTTACCAGCTTATTTACCTGGGGGAAGACTGGGAAGTGAAACAGTTTGTTTTCACTCAGATCCAAACATCTTAAGCTATATTCATCATCTGACTTTGCAGTGTGGAAGGTCTCAATGCTATTCCTGCTAAGGTCAAGTATCTCCAGCTGCCTGAGGTTGAAATCAGAGATGCAAGTAATTGAATTCATGGAGAGATTGAGTTTGGAAAGGTTCACTAGAGTCTCAAAAGCACCTTCTTCTATTTCCATGATGATATTACTCTGGAGATCAATCTCCACAAGACTGGGAGATCCCTGAAACATCTTTTGTGATATCATTATAATACTGTTGTCTGCCAAGGAAAGATACCGCAGTGCTGGAGCTTGTTTAATGAAATACTCAGCCATCCCGTTGTACAGACTGTTGTGGGACAAGTCCAGTATTTCCACCTTGGGTAAAAGTCCAATCCCCTCTGTCCCATTCTGAGCAAGCTCATATAAGTGATTGTTGGCTAAATTTATTTCCAGCAAACTTGTCATGTGTGCAAAGACTCCAGGCGTGATGAAGCTTATCTGGTTAGAGCTTAAATCCAGGCACTGGAGGGAAGTGTAAAATGATAACGGCATTTCAGGGATGCTTTGAATCATATTTTCAGACAGATCGATTTTGTTTACATTCGGATGGAGCTCACGAGGGATTTGGTGGAGGTCTTTGTTGTGGCAAAATGCCTGTAAGTTTGCCTGCCAGAAAAAGAGAGAAAAGGGGTTGTCACGTGACAAATGAAAAACATCTTTGCATGAAATATAAAGAAAATAACATTCAGCATCCAGGCACATCCTTCTTCTGAAACACTGATCACACTATTTTCTCTGAGCATTCAGACAGCAAGAACAACAATCCTAATGCTTCTTTGCAGCTAACAGCACTCGTTTGCATTTTAAAGACATTTCTGACTTACAACAGTAGAGTTTTATCTGCATGTGATACCTACTAAATGTTCTCCTTTTTGTACCTTTCTCCTGGGCTCATTTTAATAGTCCCAAGTGAAGGAGTTTTGCTCTCTTTCCATTGCAATCAAGCACCATTTCCTCACTTTTGTTCTGATGTTTAATTTTCTCAGCTTCATCACTGTATTAGATTTTGCAAAATCTACTTGCAATAGTAAGTAGTACTTAGAAGAGCTTCACTCTGTTGGCAGCACAGGTCCCAAAGCAAGGAGGTGGAGAAACATATAAGGATCCTATAGCAAAAAAACCATATCTCTCCTTCTTAGTCACACCCTCAGATATTTGATCATGTCTTCCTTTAGCCATGGCTTACTTAAGCAATGCATCTTTAACCAAATGGGTCATTCAATAACTGAAATATTTCTAATGCAAATCTCCAAACTTTTCCTGCTTTTACCATCCATGTTCATCCTTTTCTTAAGGCAACAGTTCCCTTCTTGTATGGGGAGCATGCCTTATGAAAACACCCACACAAGACACCCATGATACAACACGGAAAGGAGAAATTATGGAAAGCCAGCTTTTGTGAGGAAAAAAAGCTGCGATGTGCAGTGAGGGTCATGCCTTTTTAGTCCAATTCTCAGCAACAGGGTAGAGGAAAAGCAAAGTGTCAGAGTCAAATTCTTCTTCTATATGCATGACTGTTCAACTGCAGTTAGGACTGAATCTGTCTCCAGAGCAAAATTTGGAATGTGTGTACATAAGGAGCATTGGAAACATGAACATGATCATCCTTGCATAAATGTCAAGCTGTATTTTGTTATTAAGGAGAACATACAGCAGCGGGAGGAAGTGGAATGCGAAAGGCTTAGGCAGCATTTAATTTACTGTAGGAAAACTCTTGTTATGAATGTATTTGGGTGACTGGGTCATGTACTGTTTGTAGAAAGATCAAAAAGAAAAGAAAGAAAAAAAAATCTGTTGGATCTTAACTTCTATGGAGAAGCAGAATCCAGATTCCATGACGCAAAGCTTTTCAGACATTAAAGAAATATTAAAAGTAAAAAATATTAAAAGCCATCTGTTTCATGTGAACTTTTAGGTGAATGAAGTGTCAGGTCTGTTTAGGAGAAGTGGGGCAATAGTCAGCATTTTATGAATCTCTTTTGCATCATGTGAGTTTTGGAGACCACACAAAAATGTGCCAGAGAAGTGAGTGCTCCTCCAAACTCTAGATATACACAGGCTGCTCCACAGTCCTTCCCATGATACATCTTTCCCAAAGATCCCAAGTAAATGGCCTATTAAAACCTGAATTCCCTCCTTTTTTTCCCTCCACATCACTCAAATCTCCCCCAGCTAAACAAATCAGAAAAAAAGAGAAGGGAATTTTCTGGCTTCTTCCTGACATTATTTCTTTACTGCAAAGCCACTGTAGAATTTCTTATTTCGAGCTAAAATGTTGACAGTGCTGGGCTTAGCTCCGGGGCTCAGGAATGGAGCAGCAAGTGTTGTCTTCATTTTGTGGAGAGGGAGAAGCCAGAAGGTTGCAAAAATCCAGAGTGAAAAAGCAACAGCCACTTTGCAGCCTGAGGCAAATGCCAGGTTTATTCCCACACTTTGAGCCAGATCTCAACAAGTGTTATGCACCCTGTGCTCCCTCCGGGCATCCAGCACCGTAGCAAAGTCCTGATCCAACTCCCATCAGCATCAGTCGGCTGCTTTTCACTGAAGTCAGTGTGGGAGAGGTCAGTCCAAGTTCACCATGTATCTTTCAGGATTGGGCCTTTAATCTGCATCCACTGAACCCTCCCAGTGATAAAAGGGACTGATAAAATCTATACCTCCCGCTGTCTGCCATTTGTTCCTATAACATTTCCCCTCCCATTTTTTTTAACTTTCATTCCTTTTCACTGACTATTTTGATCTTCGCTGAATTTCTTATCTAGTCTGTTCTGCACCGTCTTTTCTCCCCTGAGGCTCAAACTGCATGAATTTTATTCTCATCGGCACTAAGAAGAAAAGATGAAGCACGTCTCAGTGGGACAGAGCAAACAGCATCTCTTTGCGTGTGTATCTCCCCTCCTCCCACCCCATAGCCCAATGGGTTGGCAGCCTGAGGCTGGAAAAGAGGTTTTTGCCAGTCTCACATTCCAACTTCATAATCTCTGCCGATGCCGCCACTTTGTTTCAAGTCCATTGGCAAGAAGTACTGCAGGATGGGGAGCACTTGGTCCCTTCGGCATCTGGTCCCATTCAGGTGCTGGTGAAAAAATGACCCAACAGCTCAAAAGTTGAGCATCACTTGGATTCTGACTCTGATTCTTTACTGCTCAGCACTGGGTGAAGCTGTCACCCACCTTAGTAAAAGCCCCATAAACAAAGCAGCTGGATCCAAGCATCTACCTGTGTTGTCCCACATCTACTCATGAGTGCTTGAACAAAAGAATTTGGGCTGGAGCCACTTGGCATTGACTTGCACTTGCACAGTGTCCATGCCCATTCTCTAGAAGAGCTGCCCAGGTGGATGATCAGCTACACAACAAAATCTTAGCAATTTGCCCAGGTACCATGTATCAACTGACCTGTGATAGCCAGATATGCATACGTTCTTGCACAACCTTGGTGCAAGGTAATATATAATTTGCGAAACCCCTTCCCTTCTATGAATTGTTTGAAAGCTCATCCTTTCCCAGTTATCATGAATTAGCAGAAACATCTTTCTTTGGGAGGTGAAATGTGAACTAGTGGAAATCCTTCTCCTTGGATATCAATATGAGTTAGGAAGAACCTCCTGACATTTAAGCTATGCCTTGCTGTCTCTCAGATGGGAGGATGTGCAGTTAACATGTATAATCACTGCAGGTCACTCCCATGTCAGGGGTCTGGTAGGGATGGTTTACTTCCTAAAACCTCTTTTACAAGACTGGTTCAATGACAGGAGCACCAGTGGTGAGTCAGAGAGGGGCACAGGTTTCTGATTCATGCTTCTTCCAGCAGATCTGGGATGAAAGTTTTAATTTCTGAGACTTGCTATTCTAAAGGTGTCACCACAAGGAAAGTACAATGTAAAACAGCGAGGCTGTGATGAAAAGTCATCACGTGAAGTAAGAGGAATTCCTGACAGACCTATCAGCTAATCCAGTAGCTCCCTCTTTCTTTAAGCTGTGTTTGGATTTACACCCTCCTCCTTCCATTGGACCAAACGCTCACTGAAGGAAGATGAGCAAAGCTCCATCAACATTAGTGATGCTGAGCTGTTAATTTAGACCAGACGAGCATCCCTGCCCCCAAATGCAGCACGTTTTCTGCCGGGGCCAAATTTATCCCAGCCCTGTTGTGTAGAGCCTTGGGTTCTTGGCTTGATGAAAATGGTTTATAGTGGAGTGGTAGAAACAAGCATGTGTTTACTTCTCAGCAATCAGCCTGATCTGTGACCCATCAAGAAATGGGATGGGGCTAATCTACTTGGATTATTGTGTGTCTTGTCCAGCCTTCATGTGACTATGATACATGGGACACAAGCAGTCATGTGTACAGTGGCTTCATCAGTCTTCCCTCCCCAGCCAATGAATTGAGCTACCCAGTCACCTTCCCAAGATATTTTTATATATACTAGGTCTTAATTTCTCTGGAATTCAGGAAGTGCAGTAATACGGCAGGGTGGGCAGGAATGGAATGAGTCCCATAAGGGAGATGTGTACAGCTAGCAAATTATTTTTTTCCCTATTTTGGAAATTCTTGAGGATTTGTGCTGAACAGCTTCGACATTCAAAAAAAAAAAAAAAAAGTATTTTTAAATGGCCTGTTACAGTCAGAAACCTTGGATAGGGAAGGGAGCAAGTTCAGCTGTTAATAACATTTATAGAATCATAGAATCATAGAATCGTTTAGGTTGGAAAAGACCTTTAAGATCATCCAGTCCAACCATTAACCTACACTACCAAGTCCACACTAAACCAATCAAGGGTAGACTAGACTAAACCACATCCTGAAGTGCCACATCTACCCATTTTTTGAACACCTCCAGGGATGGGGACTCCACCACCTCTCTGGGCAGCCTGGTCCAATTCTTGACCACCCTTTCAGTGAAAAAATTTTTCCTAATTTCCAAACTAAACCTCCCCTGGTGCAGCTTGAGCCCATTTCCTCTTGTCCTATCACTAACTACATGGGAGAAGAGACCAACACCCACCTCACTACAACCTCCTTTCAGGTAGTTGTAGAGAGCGATAAGGTCTCCCCTCAGCCTCCTATTCTCCAGGCTAAACAACCCCAGTTCCCTCAGCCGCTCCTCATAAGGCCT